ATACCACGTAGAATTTCGACGATTTCCTGGACCTCTATCTACGTATTCCGCCGAGAATTTTGATGCAGTTAAAATTCTCTTATCTTGCGAATACGTGCGGGAACGCGCACATTCGTTGCAACGCATTAAAATGCGTCAGTAAGAAGACCTATCGTTGAATCTTATAATTAATATTTTCCAATCTCTTTTGAAGAATAATATTTGTTATTTTTAATTGCATTCCAATGTCTTCTTTAAAATCTAAAATCTATAATTGCGATATTTATGCTAAATATAGAAAAGCAAATAACGATTTTAATTTTAATTGAGATGCAATGTTCGGAAAAGTTATTCAAGAAATTCAGTTTTCTAGAAATCATCGTTTATTTTTTAAACAATATTTGCACAAGAATAATTCATCAAAACATATAAATTTCAAATTTAAAACTTATCAAATGTATGAAGAAAAAGTAAAAAGATTACGCTTCTTAAAACATAAATACAGACGAAAGAAAAATTAAAGGAATTAAAACAACCGTGAAAAATGTAAAATCTCGTGACTTTTTTTAAACAGTGCAGCAGAAGAAAAGATAAATCTACTTATCTCCTCTCGCTCAAAACGATGATCGAGATGAAGTCAACTCGTTCGTTAGCGAGTTAACTCTCATCCTGGCGCGTCCCGATTTCCGAGGATTCTCCATCGCGGCCGCCCCATTGTTCCGTAGCCTTAATGCGCGCGTCGCTGTAAACAGCACTACAATGGAACAACTTCGTTAGCATAATCGCGTCACAGAGTCACCCGGGCGGCCCCCCGCCCCCGTGCCTCCCCGTACCGTGGCGGTTCCCTTTCGGATTTTACGGGTGGTTTGCCCGCGCGTCCGGGGCCTCCTCCACCTCTTCGTAGGCGGGCCCGATCCGCTTCTGCGTTTAACCGTCGCCCGTCGAGTATTATTCATTGTCGCGATCAAATCGTTCATCTTCGTATCGACATTGTCATAGGCGTAGTGAGAGGGGCGATAAATTGCACTTGCAACATCCCTTTAATTGGGAAGTATTCAGAAAAGGGGAAAAATTATTCGTCTTCGCTTAGATAATAAATTATAATTTTAACTATCAAAAAAAATATATATATTAATACACACACACACACATATATATATATATATAT